ACGCTTGATTTTTAAGAATTTTCCAACTTCCTCTTTTGCAATACTGACACTAAAGGTCTTCATGATTATTGTTTACTAGCGCACGTAGAGCTCTAAAAAAACTTAGCTATTGTTCCCGAAAAAGAAAAAAGAAAATAACAAAATTATTATTTCTATTTTGTGGGGAGGGGGTGAAGGGTCTGAGCTGTCTCTTGGCCTGCCTGGGTCAGGCAGGTTCACTCGGGCAGGGATCAGTGCTAGCAGCCAGGGTGTCACAGCAGATACCCAGCCCAGTGCTGCCCGTGAGCACCTGCTCTGTGATGTGCAAATTGCCTCAACCAGTTTCTCAACAAGGTGGAGAAATAAATCTTTTTATTCTAGCACTACGACAGCATTTTAATATTAAAATGATGAAGCATGCCCATCTCTAGGATTGTAGCTCGAGACACTTTTCTTTAAAGAGCTGATGCAGAAACCAAAAAGACAACTATTCTGACAGCCAAAGCAGCAGTTAGTTAGGAGACAGATAATTCCTACCAGTGAAGTATTACTTGAAGGGACTATATTGGCTACAGAAAAGGATGGGTAAAAATGCCACTGGAACGCCTTGCACCCTGACTACATTCCATTTCAATGATCTGGTGGCTCAAAAAATAAAAAATTAAAAATTAAATCAGAAGTGAGAACCATGTTCAGAAACAAATGTGTTGACAGAAGAACTTGCAGAATAAATTCCTTACCCAGCTTGCATCACCTTGACAAAGTCGCTTACCATCAGTGCTATCCCCCTGTCAAAAACAGCATCTTCATATTCCTCCTAGGTTCAGCTGCTTGTAGAGCCCTTTGATGAAAGGCTAGATGTGGAACTATTCCCTCATCCTACATGTTTTTGTTCACATAGGTATTTTGATGCTAGCTAATGCTGCTTGGAGAAGTCCAAAAAGCAGAAAGCGAAGTGAGGAGTGTCTTTTGTTAAAGCAAATTTCTGAGGCCAACCCCCACTTCCCACTGCCTGCTAAAAGATACTTGAGACTATTAACTCTATCTGTTTGAGCCTGCATTACTGTTTTCATACAGCACGAAACATTTTGATAGATACTGATAAAGGCAAAGAGACAACTATTTGTAACACAAACAATCTGAGATATTCTAATTAAAAATTCAATTGCCTGTTTATCAATGCAAGTAAAAAATTCTTCCTCCATTTTTTTTTTTACTTAAAACAGAATCCATCATTTTGCATCCAAAAGCCAATAAGAGAATGATCTCAAAATGCCAACTGAAACTCAAACCACATGACCCACATGTCGAGCTCTTTAAAGGAAGGAAGTTTACTTTGATTAAATGCACTTCTTGGGAAGATTTCCTAACACCTCACTCAGACTAAGTTTCTGTAGCAATGCAAAGTCCTAGTTAAGATTTTCCTTTTTGTTAGGAATAGCTGATCTTCTTCATTTTTTTCTAAGTGAAGAACACTGAAATGTGGCTATACAATGGTAATAACATGCCAGCAGACTGTCCAGACTTTCGTATGCAGAACTACAACGTGACAGCATCAGAGCTAGCACGATGTTTACTACTCAAGACTAAATCTTGCAACAGTTGAACTTTCTAAGAGACCAACAGGGGCCAGGGAAGATCTTACATCAGATGCTCCCTTCTAATAAATAAATATGTAAAAGTGTGGTCTGGCTTTTGATGTGTGTTTAAACACAAAAGTTCACTAAACAAATATTTTTAACTACTTCAACAAACACGACAGATCAAATTAACCAGCTAATTTCTTTTAAAAAGGAGAAGGAGGATATGAATGAGGTTTCCTTTGAATGAGACAGTTATTTCTTTTTAAGGACAAATCTATATTTTTCAACGTGAACTCTACATTTTGGGCTTCAGCCAGTCAGTTACTCATAGTCTTGATGTATGTCAGAGAAGCTTGAAAAAGCTTTAAAAATGAAACAAAACAAAAAAATGAAACAGATCAAACAGAAAAAAAATAAGCACAGACATGGTTTCTGTGCTTCAGTACAGGTTCAGAACCTTATAGAACCTTAAATCTTTCCTACTTTTAGCAGAAGGATACGCTAACACCGCTCTGAATCAAATTTGTAATAGAAAGCCAAAGCCAATACTATTTTTACATTACTCAGACTCAGTTTCCAGTATTTTTTTTTTCTATTCCTAAACTTGATTTGGGAAATTACACTTGTGAATCAAGAGCATCTCAGGCCAGACACACCTGTCAGTGATCTGGATGCAGGTGGACTGTAGATAAAGAAAAACCCAAACACTGAAGAGAAGACCTTAGGGATAAAGCACAAAGATAACAGAAACACACAGTAACAATACACCCTGGATGTCATGGAATCTCAGAAAACATTGTTAAAGTTTGCAAAAGGAAAGCTTTTACAATAGTCTTGCTGTACAGAAAAAGAACAATTTCTGACAGCAGGACCAGCTAAAATCCAAAAGTGAAAATGAATTCAAAGTTTTTCCCTGGATAACTGCATTTCTGAGAGGATCCAGGAGACATTTTTTCAAATTAATGAGCACAGAGAGCAGTGGGTCTTCCCAGAGAGCCTCGGAGCCTGGCAACCTGTAGTAGGAGTGAGCCAACTATGCTCACTCCTACTACAGGTTGCCAGGACTTTTTCAAAAGTCCTTCTGAATCTCTAGGCCTCCAAGACTTGTATACAATCTAGCCTCATGATTCTTGTCACAAGATCACTGTTTTAAATGCAAGATGTTCCCATGCTATCAGTAAAGTGATGGAAAACAGCACTGTAACATAGCAAATGATCCTAAAGGCAGGATGAAGTGCTCCCAGCTAAGACTGATCTACCCTAGCCCCTTATGCATCTACGATAACATTTATTTGTAAAGATGCATACCTCCATATGTTATTAAGATTAAAAATAAATTGCAACCTTATGGTTAAACTATGTATAACACTAATATTGTGTGATGGTACATATTATTTGTGGTTAGAGTTATGATTTCTAATATGTTAGATTTTTTTGATTTGGAAAGGAGGGAGGCAAGAAGGGAAGCTTCAGAATTCAAAACTGTAAGTTGTAGTTTTTTGTAGTAGGCTGTATTTACTGAGGTTTGTCCAAAACTTTCACAGATAAAAATCATTGTGTCACCAGTTTGGAAAAGCAGTGATAAGAGCATTTTTCTATCCAGTATAAAATGAAGAGAAGAAATTGAAATGATTTGCTAACCTCAACATATGTCTGTTACAGGGTAGTTGTCTGAACCTCTCCTGTGGGTATCTGCTTTACACCTGAAAACTTAGTAGAAAAACCTAATAGAAAATTCATAAAGATTTGAGCAAAAACAAAGTAGAACATAGAACACAGAAAAAATTTACAGCTGTTGCCTATCATATATGCTTGTATCAGTTTTTATCGACTTGTATACCATAATCATTTCTCCAGAAAATATAAGCTAACACTTATATAAACTCTTGGGATGATTCTAATTATTCTTATTTTCCTGATCAATAATTCATTAAATACATCTTCATAAATCTTTCAAGTCCATCAAAAAAGGGCTCTTCCCTGATGTGTAACCTAGTATCTTTAGACCATACAAAAGATAACAATAAACATACCTTAGGCTATTCTTCCTGCAAACCCATGTTCATTTGCAACTTTGGTTTTGCTTGTTACCAGGAAAGACCTTTCTGCAGGCCTGCAGCTTGGTAAAGCATTATCAGCCTTAATGCAAAACACAGTCAGAAACACCATGCAAAGAGACTGGAAGAAAAAAAAAAAGTGTATTGTGGGCATGCAGAATTTTCTTCATCCACAGGCAAAGCTGAAGTTACTTACAGCAGCAAAGATGCTGTTCAACTTACTAGCTCTCATAAGGACAAAACTTGCTCTAATCAACTCTAATGCTTACATGAATCTAAGTAAAGATATCCACAGTAATGACTGCTTGTCAGTCAGACTGGGCAAAGCTTGATTCACACAAAATTTCTGTGCTCACATTGATTTTGAGAGAACAATCAAAAGAAATTGCTTGTAATTTTATTTTTCCTCTTTAAGAAAATAAATGTGAAGTAAGAAGTTACATTTCCTTAGCACATCACCCTACAATTTACAAATGCATTATTAAAAACTGCTGTACAATTAACTCCATCTTAAAGTAACAGCTAAGGTATCACTAAAACCTGAAAAAGGCAGACATTACAGCATGTTGTCCTTGCACACAAACAGGGCTTGGTTTTGAAACATACATGCACAAATAAGTTTATGCATGTTTACATATGATTTTTTTTTCCTCAAAAACAATGTTTGCAAATGTAGGTGACAGCAAATATAAAACCAATCTCAGTGTTTCCAAACACAGAATACATGATCACTTGTATCAACAACTCATCTTAGAAACACATATTTGTATCAAAACTGCATACTGCAAACTCCTAATTATTTTGAAATCCCACTGAAAATATAAGCCTTAACCTATCGGCAATATTAAATGTTGCATAAATATGTATTTGATCTAATCCAAATTTGTTTTATTGTTATAAAGAGCATATGAGTAAGACATGAACTCTCTAACATGGAAATAGAAGTAATTAATACAAACTAATATAAACAATTATATGCTCAGAAGGAAGGAAAAATTGGCAACTACAGTTGTTAAAGGCTAATGAGAAGGGTTTTAACTTTTGTTGCCACCAGCCGATACCCAGTTTTTATAGTGCCAAAATAAACATCCATCGGAAATTTTGCTTGGTAAATATTTTAAGATATTTCTTTCTATAAATATTATGATTGTTAAAATATTTACATGTCTTAATACTTAAAAAAATCAGAATTATCTTAATTACACTTCAAAATCACAGACCTGTTTAATTATTAAACTTGCTTTAAAAGTTTTTCCAATTTAGACTTTGTGCATTTTTTACTGTTTTTCATTGTTTTGACTGACTTCCTACTCTTTATACATTCTTTCTGAATACAAATCTGGTTGTTGATCCATAACCATCACAGTAATATTCAAGACACTATCATGACTTCTTGAGCCTTCGCAGTTTTAATTTTCTGAGACCATCTTTAACCTCTTTTTTTCTTTTTTGATTAAGCTTCTCTGGAGACATAGACAGTGTTTTAAAATGAGATGCTGAAGGCATCAGAGAGAACTCTTCAGGGGTTGTGCCTGGCTCAGTTTTGCCAGTCTGCACTATACTGCTCCCCTCAAGAAGAGGTCTGGAGAGCTTTTCTTCCAGAGTGAGTGACCCTTCATCAGATACCCTTTTTGTCAAGTCTTCTGTAGAAAATGATCTTGAATCAAGTGGGGTCTTCTCCTCTAAGACTGGAGCTGAACAATCGTCACTGCACTTGCTCATTTCTGTAGTGCTGGGAATTAATGGAGCCTCTTCAGAAAATTCTTTCCCGGAACAGCCTAGCTTTTCTTCTGAACCACATCTCTTCTGTTGAGCCTGTGTTTCAGTCACTTTTTGACTTTGTTTTGGATCTAGTGGTGCTGACTCATAGCTAGAAGGAGGGTTCTTGCTTAGAAGTCTCATCTTTAACCACTCCACAGAATGAGGTTTTTGCTGGCTGCTAGCATCATCTGGCTGTCTCTGATTAACATCATTTTCCAGCTCTAAAACAGGAAGCTCTAAGTTGCTCTCAGATGCACTTATGCAATCCTTTAGTTGCTCTATACTCCCACATTTTAAATCAGATGGATTGGGAGAAGTTTGACAGTCAGTCTTTCTGTTCTCTTTCTGGGAGTCCCCTGAGCCAGGATGTACTTTATTAGAGTCCTTTCTTGTTTGAGGTTTGCTCATGCAACTTTCCCTTGTTTTTGTCCTTTTCACACTGTAATTAAAAAAAATGTTTTAAATAAAAATGAATCTTAACTGTTTCAATCTGTCTTTTCTTCTAATCCTCAAAGACCAGCAGGGCAATCCTCTTTCTGAATGTGGAAAGGAGAGTATATATCACCTGACAAGCAGTAATGTTTGTCTAATGAGGATAATACCAAGTGTTACCCATCTGATTTTCCACTGCTCTAGGGGAACCCTATTTATTAATGACTAAGCCATGAAGGAGTTTGCATTCTGTTCCAAGAGGCAGAACTGGATTCATTACAGATGTTAAAGGTCAACACTGCATAAGTACATTGAATTCCTTCCCAAATTAGCTAGATAAAACAGCGTTTCATAAGCGTCTAAATGATTTCAAACCATTCCCATATATTCATATACATTATGCATATCTAAAGACTAGAGAGGGACAGGCAGGAAGATGCAGTGTGTGTGTCTGTGTATGAGAGTGTCTAATCACTAGCTTAGAATGTTTCTCTGGAATTTTTCCCAGGACATTTCAAAGCGTTACTTTAAAGTTAACCACTACTCATCTAATATCAAGCCTGCTCATCTGGAAGGGACTTAGGTAAAACAAATAGAGGATATTTTTAAAGGAATTATACAGGAAAATGAAATCATAAGAGTCGCAATGGCCTGTTAGTACATAAACACTCTTCAACAGTGTGTATTACCTACAAAGCTAAACTTCACATAATCTGTAAGATGAACTTTACATACAAGTATGGGAGCTGCCTATATAAGATTTAAAGTCTCAAGACTATAGAATAGCTCCTCCCATGCTGAGACTGCTTTCTGCAGCTCTGCTGATGCCATCAGTTCTCAAGTCAGCATATCTAACTTGAGAAAAGGACTAGAATAGTAACCCCAAATCTGATTTCACTTTAAAATCAGCACAGATGAGAAAATGGGGGTTAAAACAAAAGTTGCCAGGGTTCACAGCAATATCCTGATTCCACAGTAAACATTTTGGGCTGTTGGCAGGCAAGGACAGCATAATGGTCTAGCGCAGGATCACTGAAACATGCAGCTGACCAACTGACCCCCCGCCCCATTCCACTACACTATATAGCTGTATAGGGCACCCTTTAGTTGTAGCCACAGGTCCTGACTAATGCTGTGGTACACTGTAGACTCACAAAATGAAAACAAAAAAAATATGTATTTGCAAAGTGGGGCTTTTTTTTCTTCTCTCTAAATCAGATTCAAACATCCTAAGTATTTATTTTGGCTCAGAGCTTCATTCAAGAAAAAAAAAATATTTTTATTCTGCCTACTGCTATGTGAGATAGCTTATGTGGGTTGCAATAGTTTTTCTTCATGTCCTATAAAATAACAAAGAACATTTTATATGCTTATCCACAGTACAGTATCAGTCTCTTAACAATCAAAAATAATCTTTTATATAAGAGCTCATAATATTTGACATTTCATAACATGCACTGACTCCTATCTACTCATATTTTTTATAACTCAGAAACAAGAGTGACATACATTTCTTTCAAGATGTCTTGCTTTATCTTTTGGGTCACACTAAGCTTAGGCTTTTCATTCTCGGCAGATTCAGTAAAATACTCAGACATCCCATTGGAAACTTCTTTCTGCTCCAAAAGAAAACACAGGTTTAAAACAGGACACATTAAGCTATGATTATTCATCCATTTGTACTACTAAGTCTTACACATGGTCTTTATTATTTTGATGTGAGTGGTCTTAGAGAAACAGCTAAGAACCAAATTATTTTTAATCTTATATCAACTGGGAGTCTGTAGTCAGTTTACTCCCCTTTCAGACTCCTGATGAACATATTTCGTATGCGAAAATATACCACAAACAAACAAGATTGCAATGTAAAGGATGTAGCTTTCCAAACCAGCTGAGGGAACTGTTGGCAAATATTTGACATCTTTGTGGCTCAAACTGTGACAAATGCCAGGAATCTCTGTTGCAGACAGGAGCATTTTTGTCAGTTTTTTTTCTGAAGAGACTGACTGGCGCAGCGGTCTATGGACTTATTCTCAAAAGAATTCCCATAATTTTCCATACTTACCAAAAAATATACAGAGTATTATTTGCTCATTTTAGAAGGCAAGGGTTAAAAGTTTTAATACTAACATTCGGACGCTCACAGCTTGTAGTGGTTGGCTACGACAGGACAACAGGGGAATTCTTTCTGGTCTCAGCTAACAGCAGCACCATGGTTTTATATAATATGAGACTAGGAGCGGGGGGAGGGAAGGAAAATGCTCTTTCTCTTCAAACTGTGAGCATTTCCTTTCACGATGAAACAATCTCAATGAGAGAAGGGCCATTTGCTGACTTCACTACTAACTACCATAGACTGCAAATAAATCTGATCTCTACGGCTACGGTGAGGAGGGAAAGAAATGGCGCAAAGGCAAGAAGAGAAGGGGCTTTGTGCATCTCCTTTCCTTTGACAGCATTTTTCCTCATCAGCAACGAATGATGCAACCTCTGATTGGGGCTTGTCGAACACAGGGAGCCCTCGCTCCTACTGCTGCCTGCGTGACGCTGGCAGCCCCCTGCGCCAGAGCCGGCCAAACGGCAGAACCGAAGCAACCCAAGGGGCTGGAGCCCGCGCGTGAGCACGAGCTGGGGCACAGCTGGGGCAGCCTGCCCTGGCGGGGGGTTAAACCCTGCCGTTTTGCTCAAGGAGAGGAGGCAAACCCTGCTTCTCTTCCCAAGAGCAGGAGCCAGTGAGAACGACTTCCTGTTTTGTTAGGGAGAGAGAGGACAGTTCGGCAAAGAAACAGGGTATTTTGACAGCTTCAAAAACTGCAGATGTTTTGAGTCTCTGTTTCAGAGGCAAGTTATGCAAACTTCTGTGTGTGTATTAATAGATGCATAAAGTTCTGTGCACTGCTGTTGCAATACATGTTTACAGGAGGCACCCAACACATAAGACATACATGCCATGTGATTTCAATCTCAAAAATCAAGCCTAACGAGTTTAAGATGAGGGCTGAAGAGCTGCTTCTATTCTTGTTAAAGCTATGGACTCCCCTAAATTGACCTAATATACCTTCATACTTTTTAAACTATTAAAAGCAGAAATATTACTATGAAGATACTGAAAAGCTTTGGAAAGAAGCACAGACCCTTAACTTTAAAGCCAACAGGAACTGTTACATTTTCCAGTTACTGCCGCTCAGCTTAGACTGCAGCTCTTACACAGCAGCTCTGCATCAAAACAGTAGGACAGACCCTTGGGTAGCCACAGAAAGTGGCACAAGCAGCAGCCTTTGCACCTCCTTATTCTGCTTTATGGTAAGCGGGAAGGCTGTTTACATTAAATCTTCCCCTGAGCTCATCACAAAGCAGCCTGGGACAGGATCACCAGCCCACCACACACTTCTGGCTGTGGCAGACAAGGGGTGGCAAGGAGACAACGTGGGCAAAGGAGGACCATGGTCAGGAACTGTCCACCCGCGCTCACTGCTGCAGGTGAGCCATGAACCTCACTCCTATCCTGTGTCCTGCCAGGAGCAGGGAATGGCTGCTGACCAGAAGGCAAAGTCAGTTCTGGGTGTGAGGAGCAGAGCCCAAGGAGAGGCAAAGGCCACAGAGTCACTTCACGTGGGAACTGAGTCACGTTGGAAGTTAGGAGCTCGGAGCTGACCGGCAAACACGTTCACTTTCTGCACCGCCTCGACTCTTGTTTTGTTTTCAAGTAGCTTATCCCATCAAGAGGCGACAGAAAAGGGTTAAGACAGTAAAAAAAAAAATAAAGAAAGAATCAAAATGATTTATATGTGAAACACTTCTGAACATGCCCTCTAAGTACAGTAGATTTTCCCCTCGGAACCACACCCTCTAAGTGCTGTATTTTGAGAGCTGAACAATTAACATAAGGCCCATGAGTCAGGCTTTGAAAGGCTCTGTGGGAACCAGAGAGCCTTTTGCTGTTACAAGTGATGTAAACTCCCTAAGGCTGGAATAAGTCCACAATAGAAGGCAAAAAAGAGTAATAAACAACAACAACGGGCACTGCATATACTACTAAGTCACTCGGCCATTACTGGTGATACTTCCTTTATTTTCTTTATTAAGCTTAATAATTTTTGCTAATTAAAAAAATAAAAAACATTGTCTGTTTTGGGAATACTATTTATTTCCTATGGGAACTTCGGGACTTGTTAGAGAAAGAAAAAAAAATAAAAAAGAAGTTAATCTGCTCTCATCCTGTCTAGTAATCCCAAGTTCCTTTTAGGCAGTGAAATAATTAAAGAAAAATATTCCGGGCATAAAAAAGGAGGAGAGCAGAAGCAGACTTCACATAAACAATGACACCATGACAGAGGAAAACGTCAAAGCACCGCCAGGCTTGCGACTTGACTCCAAGAGAGCTGCAGGGAGTGGGATCACTGCTAACAAATTAAAACCACATTTCTTGGCAAATTGTTAAAAAGACAGACATATTTACATTTGTATAGAGACTGGGTGGGCACAGAAGATTAAAATGGTTCTCTAGCCCTTGAACTGCCAAGTTCTATTAGAAATCTGTGCTCTGAAAATCCTAGGGTAAACTCGCTCCTTTTTATCACTTAAGCTCAACTGCGAAGGGCCTGCAGAAACGAGGAGCCACCACCCTACCTGCACATACAACCTGCTGCACAGAACCCCATTTGCAGATCCTTAGCGCTTACTCAGTGGTCTGGCATCAAGGTGGGGGGAGAGAGGAAGAAATACCCCTCTCTATTAAGAGCTATCTAGAAACTTGGCTGTTAGGTGCACAGTATACTTGCACTAAGGCTTATCAGACTGCAATTTTGTTCTCTTTTACTACCTAAATTCCAAGTGAAGAAGAATCCCTCAAGCATCTCAGAAAGAGTTCTGACTGATACATGCACCTCTCTCCATGAGAGCCAGCATGAAGCATATGTAAAAGTACTGCTAATTTATGTGTAGGGATTCTTCACAAGAATGATCAACTGATCATTTTGAACTGATCAGCTGATCATCTTGAAGAAGACCGAAAGGTTTGGCCTCTTCAGAAACCAAGCTGCCAATACTGCTCATATAAACACTGCAATCTTGCAGTTGCCAGTGACTGTGCCCAATATAACAGTGGCACCAACAGTTGTGTACCAATAAAACAAAATCTGTATGGGATAATTAAATTTCATGTCTGGTTAAAAAGAACACATTGTTTTGGAATTGCACTTATCAATGTGGCTTGACTTAATCATCAAACAACAAGCTTAATAGAAAACATCAATGGGCCAGATAAATCAAAGTTAGTACCAGAGTGGCATATGGGGGTCCCCACTGAGGCCTCATCCAGCACATGTAGCACAGCAGCCCCCAACAACAAAATTCCTAGACCCTGAATACAATAATGGAGATGAAGCAATGGAATAAAGTATTATCCCAATTACACACAACTGAATAAAATTAAAATTAGTAAAAGGAATCCGACAGAAGTAGTTATTCTTGGGAACTTTATCTGAGCTTGCACTTCTATGATTTCTCTTAATGCCACCCTGGTAGTATCATGAGCTCAATCATATTTTAGATCTTAGAAAGGTTCTGGTAGATGACGGGCAGAGCAAAGAGGTGATACAGGAATTTTTCCAATCTCATAAATATCAAAGGCTTCCTATAATAGGCCTGTAAATGAAGGATGAACCAGATCCAACTGACAGAGAATCAACAGGTATGGGACATTTTAGAACTAGTCTCTGACTGAACCCTCCTACGTGACCCAAATTTTTCAGTGTTTTCACTATAGGACTGCACCCGTCCTACAGACTCCTACTATAAGATAAACTATCCACAGAAATGTTCCACGTACAGAAATGGATATCCTCAATCTGAAATATTGTTCACTGTTTGGTCTTGCAGAATTTTGCTTTACATTTTAAAAGCGGACTCTCCCATTCTACAGGTCAATAATTTACAACAAAAAACACTACGGATCACATTCCATGCCAAGAATGGGCATATGGACTTCCATATGTGAAACAGGTATTTTTAAGACATGCTGGTGGTTTTGAATTACATTCCTTTCACAAGACTGAAACCAGAGTATCAACCAGAGTTAGGCACCTCTCTCCTGTAACAAGCAGGACTATATGACAGATAGCAAGACATACATAATGTTTTCTAAACCCACACAGATGGTGCTCCTGAAACAAATGATTTATTTACATACTTAGAAGCACATGTGATACATACTGTGTGTGTTTGCTTGAAGGCAAAAGTGTTAAAATTAATGTTAACTAATTAACCTATTAATCATTCTGATTCCATGCAGTGATGCTGCCAGATTCAGATACTATCTTCAGAGATGTCCTCCAATAAGGAAACAATGAAAAAAACATTTTCTTTTCAAGTAAAATAACCACTCAATGATATTTAAGGAAAACTTAAACATAGTCTAATTTTTTTTTCCCAGAGAAATACATTGCCTGAAAACACGCATCTTCAGGCCCATTTCACATGAACTTTAAACTTCCTGACTTCAGCAGTCACAAAAGAAGATACGCATGTAAAACATGTTTTATACTTAAAGAACTTCTTAAGGAAAAATAGTGATTTTACGTGCAGCTCAACCCTTTCACCCAAACTGCAAACCACA